ATTCAATTCGAATTGTAATTATTCCCAACTTTAAAAAAACCTGAATTACAAAATTTCGTTGGGAACAGATTTCAATAAAACTAACACCACATTGGGCGCCAATTTGTGAAACATTTGAAAATAAATTAAATTTCCATGACCTCTTATTTCCAGTTTTGTTTTTGTCTTGCTACAATCTAACTTCCAAAAGTGGCCGTCTTTTAGGAAAATTAAAAAATATGGCGCCCAACGTGGGTCAGTTTTAGTCAAGAACAAGTATTCCCTAATAACTATTTAATTGGAATTGAAATTACTCCCAACTTTTAGAGAAGAGCCTGATTTACAAAATTTCGTTGGGAACAGATTTCAATAAAACTAACACCACATTGGGCGCCAAATTGTGAAACTTTTGTAAATAAATTAAATTTCCATGACCTCTTGCTTCCTGCTTCGAAGTTTCATTCAAACAACTCGGTGACATTGTGTCTACTTTCCACAAAAGTTAGCCATTACTTCTAGGCTTCTTGACGCCGAACAAAATTAGAGATGATAAAATATTGCCAAAACCATATTTTAAGCAATAAAATTTGTGCAGAATTTTTTTTGTCAAGATATTCTTCGCAGTTAATTATTATTAGGGAGGCTCCCCCTAGCTTGCTCATTAACAATAAACATTTAGTAGTACTAAGTAACTTATCACAGAATAACAGATGACCCAAAAAAGAGAAGAAAAAAATATGTCTCATTCCCAGCTACTTCAAAGCATGAAAGTAGGTTCATCAAGTATGGGTGTGTGTTGGGGGGAGCTGCCTTTAAATGCATGCTTCCCAGATAATAGATGCCTCTTTTCTCGCCTTCTTCTTCTTCATCTTCTCTAATAGGTCTGGCATTTTTAAACTATATTTATCCAGAAATTGGGTTGATGTTGTATCCACTTGCCGCCATCTCCTCCACCTCCATCTTCTAGACTTTCCGGACAACTTCATTACAACAATGTGAGAAATGTTGTGAAAAGTCAGCAGATAAACAAAGAAGAAAAATGAAAGAACCAGAGACGAAAAAAAAAACTGAAGAAAATTTTGCTGTTTCTTTGGCTTGGTCTGTTTTGTTGGAATCTACCAATTTCATGCTTTGCCACTGGAGCGTAATGAGATGTATGAAGAAAAAGAAGAAGAACGATGAAAACCAAAGACAATGCATTTCTAATTAGGTTCCCTGATTAATCAGAGAGAGCGAGTTGGGGGGAAAGAGAAACTAAAAATGTTGAAGAAAAGTAGCAACAAAAAAAAAATAGTTCAAGAAGTTATTGATTGCTGGGTGAGAAAATTTCCTGGTTAAACGGGGTCAGGAGAGGGAAGGTGTTTTACCATTTGTGACAGAAATTCAAACATGGCGCCCAACGTAATGGTCAAGTAAATTAAAGGAAAAAAATATTTATGTCTGTTCAAAAAAATCATCCCAGAAAAATAAGTTTAGAAATTATTACATTGATATTAGTTTTTGTTTTAACTATCCCACGTTGGGCGCCAAATTTTATAGATTGTCTAGACGGTAATTAATATTAACCATAAAACTGATTTATTGATTCAGTGGCGATTATAGCATTTTTTGATTTCGTCATCTCTATGGTAAGTAGTGCATTCTGGTTGGGCGCCAATTTGAGAAAAAAAAAAAAACAAAAATAATTAACATTTTTGTGATGTGAAGCTAAATAAAAAACATAATAAATTTTTGGGTGATTTAAGTTTTTATTAAAAGCTGGCCCATGCTGGGCGCCAAATACTAAAACATTTTTGTAGAACTGGCCTTCGTTGGGCGTCACATTTTAAAGATAGTCGTCAAGAATTTAAGATAGATGGTTATCGATACCAAACTTTAAGCGATTTATTGGCTCAGCTATTTCTGATGTCGCCATCTTTTAGTGGGAAGTCTTTCCACGTTGGGCGCCAGTCTGAAAAATGGTTCTCATATTAAACATTAATTCATTTGATTTACCATTGAACTCCTTAACCCATAAAATATCATTATTATTCGTTCGTCATAGTGTTCAATTAAAAATGCCCCACGTTGGGCGCCATTTTTATGAAAACATTTTTTCCATCACCTTTGAAGCCCAGAAACATTACTTGTTAACCTTTCTTGACGTTGTTCAAGCAGAGCTGTCGCAGTTTGGACGCCAAATTTAATGGAAAATGAAAAAAACACTTTTACTTTCATTTTTTAGGAAGTCTATCCACATTGGGCGCCAATTTCTCATATTAAAGATTAATTTAGCCCAGATATTGTCATTCTTAGCCTTTCGTCACAGTCTCAAATTAAAGCTGCCCCACATTGGGCGCCATTTTTATGAAATAGCGCTTAGATGTTCTTGTCCATATTAAAGTGTAAATAATTTTTTCTTCCATCACCCATGTTTCTTGAAGCCCAGAAACATCATATGTTCAACTTTCTTGATGTTGTTCAAGCAGAGCTGTCACACTTGGACGCTATCTTTAACGAAAAACACTTCTACTTTCATTTTTCAGGAAATCTATCCACATTAGGCGCCAATTTCTCATATTAAAGATTAATTCACACCTGAGCCCAGATAATGTCATTCTTAGCCTTTCGTCACAGTGTCAAATTAAAGCTGCCCCACGTTGGGCGCCATCCTTATAAAAAAAAGATTTCATGTCGTTCTCCATATATAAGTGTAAATCATATTTTTTCCATCGCCATTAAAGTCCAGAAATACCATTTGTTAAACTTTCCTGAGGTTGTCCCAGCAGAGCTGTCCCACTTTGGACGCCATTTTTAATGAAAAACACCTTTACTTTCATTTTCTATAACGTAAATCATATCATCACCCCTGGGGGCCAAGAAATATGATTTATTAATCTTTCTTCACATTGTTCCAATGGTTACCTACGTTGGGCGCCATCTTTAATGTAACATCCCCTTTACTTTCATTTCATTTTCATAAGATCAATTTTTCAATCACGCTTCGAGTCCAGAAACATTTTTCATTCTCCACATTTTTCAAACGGCTGTGCCCCCTGTTGGGCGCCATCTGTAAAAAAAAAGATTATCATTTTTCCTTACACCTAAACCCCGAAATACAATTTTTTAAGCTTTTCTTCACAAAGGCCAAATATTGGTGGCATTCCACGTTGGGCGCCATTTCGATTATAAATGTCTTTACTTTAATTTCATTTAATTTCCCATCATCCAAACGTCTAGAAATATAATTTTTGTTATCTCTTTTCATAATGTCTAAACGGTTTTGCCCCACGTTGGGCGCCATAGTAACAAGTAAATCCTATTTTCCAACACACCTGAGCCCAGAAATACAATTTTTCAGCGTATTTTTGCAATGTACCCGCTGGGATGCCCCACGTTGGGCGCCATCTTAAATTATAAACGCCTTTGCTTTAATTTCGTAAATCTTCTTATTTTCCATTCCATCCCTGACGACCTATTCTTACAATGGTGATATTGCCACACGTCAGGAGCCATTTTTTACGAAAATCGCCTTTACTTTCATTTTTCCATATTGGGCGCCATCTTCAATCACAAATGTCTTTACTTTAATTTCACAAATCATTTTATTCTCCATCATCCTGACGACCAGAAATATAATTTTTGTTGCCTCTTTTCATAAAGACTTAGCGGGTTTCCCCACGTTGGGCGCCATATTAAAAAGAAAATCAAATTTTTCCAACACACCTCCTGAGCCCAGAAATACAATTTTTTCATCGTAGTTTTGCGTTGTCCAATTTGTGGACAACGAATTCCCGAAGTCCTATCCTCATAATGGTGATATTGCCCCCACGTCGGGCGCCATCTTTAATAAAATCACCTTTACTTTCATGTTTTCTATCTTGGGCGCCATCTTCAATTATAAATGTATTTACTTTAATTTCGCAAATCTTTTTATTCTCCATCATCCTGACGTCCAGAAATACAAAAAAAATTACCTCTTTTCATAAAGACTAAGCGGTGTTTCCCCACTTTAACGAGTAAATCATATTTTTCCAACACACCTGAGCCCAGAAATACCATTTTTTCGACGTATTTTTGTATTGTTCAATTTGGGAGCCCCACGTTGGGCGCCATCTTAAATTATAAACGCCTTTGCTTTAATTTCGTAATTCTTCCCCATCCGGACGTCCAGAAATATAATTTCTGTTGTTTCTTTTCATAAAGACTAAGCGGTTCTTCCCCACGTTGGGCGCCATAATAAGAAATAAATCATATATTTTTTATTTTCTTAAATTATAAACGCTTTTGCTATAATTTCTTAAAAACTCTCATTTTCCATTCCATCGCTGACGTCCTATCCTCACAATGGTGATATTGCCCCTATGTCGGGCGCCATCTGCGATGAAAATCACCTTAACTTTCATTTCGCTCGTTTCCATATTAAAGCGTAAATCATCTTTTTCCCAATCACCGTTTATTTTTAGCTAAAATGATTCCCCTCCCTCTGTGTCAATCTGTTTCAGACACCCTTCCTCCCCCCCTCAACTGTTCTACTTTTATTTCTGTCGTGAGTTTTGTGGTTGTTGATGTTGTTGTTGTTCTTGTATTATTTCCCAATATAATTTTTTGCTTTGTACTACTTTGTTTTTCTTATATTGAGAAAAAAATAACAACAAAGTTAATAGAAACATTTGTTGGTTGGTTTTTGTTGTTGTTGTTAGATTTTTTGTCGATTTTGTCCTTTACTCAGTCTGTCGGTGATAAAAAGAAACAATATTTGCAAGGATCCAGTCATGAGTCAGTCGTCGGTGACACACAAATAAGCAAATTTCCGCAAAAAAAACCTCGAGCAGGGTAGAGCAGATACTCAAACGTGTGAGTGTGTTTGGGCTAGTTGCAGAGGAGGGAGGGGTAAGGAAAGATGTCAACATTACATAAAACTTCCTTAAATATAAGGACATGTTAAGGACCATAGATGGAAATACACAACTGAAATGCTTTTAGCTTTCTTCTATCGAAGCGGAGGAAAAAACCTTTCATTGTTTTCCATTTTCTTTCAGCTCCCCGTTACTTACCTACTTAATTGCCAGCCAAAATGATGGAGCTGGAACCACGGGTGGCACTGTTGCAAGACTTACGTTTGCAAACATTCGATTCAATACGATTCGCCTCATATCGTACCGCCTCAAAGCTGCGCTACATCCAGAAATCCACAAATCTCCATCTGGTGGACATATGGAATGTGATAGAGGCCTTCCGGGAGAATGGCCTCAACACACTCGAGCCCCAAAGCGATGTTAGTGTGGCCCGCCTTGAGACACTGGTTTCATCCCTTTATCACAATCTCAATAAACGACTGCCAACAGCACAACAGGTTCCTGTCGACTCCAAGGCCGGGTTGTTACTTAATTGGTTGTTAGCCGCCTATACCACCGACAATTCGGGCAAGATACGGGTATTCTCCATTAAAGTGGCCCTGGCCACAATGTGTTCCGGCAAACTGGTGGACAAACTAAGATGTAAGTATGTCGGCTATATCCTCCAAAAAACGGAAACTAATCATCCATCTATCCATTACAGACATCTTTTCTCAGATCTCAGACGGTGCTGGCCAATTGGTCAACTGGAAATTGGCAGAATTCCTGAAAGAGGTGCTCGCCCTGCCCGCAGCCGTATACGAATCACCCACATTCCACTATACCGATGGCCTGGAAGAGCAAATATTCCCCTCAGAGAACAAGATCACGGTCAACGATTTCATGGCAACACTTATGTCTGAGCCAGGACCGTCGTGCCTGGTCTGGCTGCCGCTTTTGCATCGCTTGGCCACGGTAGAAACAATTGTGCATCCCACCATCTGTTCTGTCTGTCACAAGGAAAACTTTACCGGCTTTCGTTATCGTTGTCAGCGGTGTCACGCCTACCAATTGTGCCAGGAGTGCTTTTGGCACGGCAAGACATCGTTGAACCATCAAAACGATCACGAGGTCAAAGAGTACTCAAGCTATAAGTCGCCCAGCAAACAGATTGGCCATTCGTTGCGCAAGAGTTTCCGATGTGTGCCGGAGAAGACAAGTCAAGTGTTGCCACGATTTCCCGAACAGCCGGAGAAGACATTGAATCTATCGCATATTGTGCCGCCATCGCCATTGCCATCGCACAATGGTTTCGGAGATCCCTCACTGTTGCATGGCCTGGGTGGTCCAGGTATACCAGGCGGAGGAGGAGGTATTGGTGGTCTTCTGTTTGATCGTTCCAGTACCCTCGATTCGAGAGCGACGGGTCGTAGTGTTGATAGTGCCAATGGAGGTGGGGGTACATCGTCGACATCGCGTGTGGCAGCCGCCTCGGCCAACGATGAGGAGCATCGTTTAATTGCCCGTTATGCTGCGCGATTGGCTCAAGAGAATCGTGCTGTAAGTTAAGAGAAAATGTGTATTGGAAATTGCATCTTTTTCGAACTACACCATCACAGCAGGCGGGAAATCAAGGGTATTCCAAGGATTGTGATTCATAGCACTTTGATAGCAGAGAGCGTGGATGTCGTTAAATAGTGGATTTTTTCAGGATCGTGGATTTTTTGAAGATCGTCTGGAAACTCAAAGGCCACAAAACAAACTTCATTTTTAATAGCCTTCTAAGATCTTCTAAGGTCAGAAAACGTGGAGTTTTTTAAAGATCTAAACCTCTTTAAGACTCTAGACCTCCTTAAGAACAAAAAAGACATTTCAAGGCCTTTAAATGTCCAGAAAGCGATAGTTTTTAAATATCTTTTTCTAGGCTCTTCAAAACATTTTTAAAGCCGGAAATCGTGGATTTTAAAGTCTTTTTCGAGATCTCTTTCAACGCCTCTTTAGGACAAGAAATCGGGGACTTTTAGAGACACACCCCTTGAAGACCGAAAGTTATGGATTTTTTAAATATTTTGTCAGGGCCTCTTTGAAAGCAGACTATAAGGGGTTTCCAAGGTCTTTTATAGGCCTCTCTTAGAAAACGTAGACTTTTTAAGCCTTTTTTCAAGCCTCTTTAAGACCTGAATAGTAAAATTTTCTATTCAAGACCGGAAATCGAGAATTTTTAAAGAATTTTTCTAGGTCTCTTTAGGGCCACAAAACATAGATTTTTTTAAAGATTTTTCTAGGCCTATTCAAAACCGGGAAACGTGAATTTTTTAAGAATTTTCTTAGCCTATTCAAAACCGGGAAACGTGAATTTTTCTATGTCTCTTTAAGGGCAGAAAAGGTGGATTTTTTAAAGAATTTTTCAATGTCTCTTTAGGGGCAGAAAAAGTGGATTTTTTTAAGAATTTTTCTACGTCTCTTTAAGAGCAGAAAACGTGGATTTTTTAAAGAATCCAGAAAACGTGGATTTTTTAAAGCGTTTTTCTATGTCTCTTTAAGGGCAGAAAAGGTGGATTTTTTAAAGAATTTTTCTATGTCTCTTTAAGGGCAGAAAATGTGGATTTTTTAAAGAATTTTTCTATTTCTCTTTAAGGGCAGAAAACGTGGATTTTTAAAGATTTTTTCTATGACTCTTTAAGGGCAGAAAAATTCTTTAAAGAATTTTCTATGACTCTTTAAGGGCAGAAAAAGGTGGATTTTTTATACAATTTTTCTATGTCTCTTTAAGGTCAAAAAACGTGGATTTTTAAAGAATTTTTCTATGTCTCTTTACGGCCACAAAACTTGGATTTTTTAAAGAATTTTTCTATGACTCTTTAAGGCCACAAAACGTGGATTTTTTAAAGAATTTTTCTATAAATCTTTAAGGCCACAAAACGTGGATTTTTTAAAGAATTTTTCTGTGTCTCTTTAAGGGCAGAAAACGTGGATTTTTTAAAGATTTATTCTCTGACTCTTTAAGGGCAGAAAACGGACTTTTAAAGATTTTTCTATGACTCTTTAAGGGCAGAAAACGTGGATATTTTTAAAGAATTTTTCTATGTCTCTTTACGGCCACAAAACTTGGATTTTTTAAAGAATTTTTCTATGACTCTTTAAGGCCACAAAACGTGGATTTTTTAAAGAATTTTTCTATAAATCTTTAAGGCCACAAAACGTGGATTTTTTAAAGAATTTTTCTGTGTCTCTTTAAGGGCAGAAAACGTGGATTTTTTAAAGATTTATTCTCTGACTCTTTAAGGGCAGAAAACGGACTTTTAAAGATTTTTCTATGACTCTTTAAGGGCAGAAAACTTGGATTTTTTAAAGAATTTTTCTATGTCTCTTTAAGGGCAGAAAACGTGGATTTTTAAAGATTTTTTCTATGACTCTTTAGGGGTAGAAAACGTGGAATAGAATTTTTCTATGTTCCTTTAAGGGCAGAAAACTTGGATTTTTTTAAAGAAATTTTCTATGTCTCTTTAAGGGCAGAAAACGTGGATTTTTTTAAAGAATTTTTCTATGTCTCTTTAAGGGCAGAAAATGTGGATTTTTTAAAGAATTTTTCTATGCCTCTTTAAGGGCAGAAAAGGTGGATTTTTAAAAGAATTTTTCTATGTCTCTTTAAGGGCAGAAAACGTGGAATTTTTAAAGAATTTTTCTATGTCTCTTTAAGGGCAGAAGACGTGGATTTTTTAAAGAATTTTTCTATGCCTCTTTAAGGGCAGAAAACGTGGATTTTTTAAAGAATTTTTCTACTTCTGTTTATGAGCAGAAAACGGGGAATTTTTAAAGAATTTTTCTGTCTCGTTAAGGGCAGAAAACGTGGATTTTTTAAAGAATTTTTCTATGTCTCCTTAAGGACAGAAAAAGTGGATTTTTTAAAGAATTTTTCTATGTTTCTTTATGGACAGAAAACGTGAATTTTTTAAATAATTTTTCTATGTCTCTTTAAGGGAAGAAAACGTGGATTTTTTAAATAATTTTTTGTGTCCCTTTATGAACAGAAAACGTGGATTTTTTTAAAGAATTTTTCTATGTCTCTTTAAGGCCGGAAAACGTGGATTTTTTTAAAGAATTTTTCTATGTCTCTTTAAGGCAGAAAACGTGGATTTTTTAAAGAATTTTTCGAGGTCTCTTTAAACCAGAAAACGTGAATTTTTAAAGAATTTTTCTGTCTCTTTAAGGGCAGAAAACGTGGATTTTTAAAGCATTTTTTGAGATCTCTTTAAGGCAGAAAACGTGAATTTTTAAAGGATTTTTGAGGTCTCTTTAAGGCAGAAGGCGTGGTTTTTTTAAAGAATTTTTATGTCTCTTTAAGGGCAGAAAACGTGGATATTTTAAGGAATTTTGCTGTCTCTTTAAGGGCAGAAAACGTGGATTTCTGTTATTTGTTAAAACAGATTTAGATCTCCCCTTACTTTAACACTGCTGTGATGATGGTTAAGATTTTATTTTCCATTTATGAACTTATTAATAATTTCTTGATTTCCTCCCTTTTTCCATATAGCCCAGCAACACAAGCAATACGGACAACATTGCCTCGGATAATTCTAGAGCCCAACGTGAACTTATATCTCAATTAGAATGTAAGAATAAAGAAATAATGCGTGAAATTGCCCGACTAAGGCGTCAACAGGAAGCGGAACAAATGGCACCCGAAAATCCAGCTTTAATCAATGAACTGAGAGCCTTGCGCCAACGAAAAGGTGAGCTGGAGGGCCACTTGGGTGCCCTGCAAGACTCGAGGCGGCAGCTCATGGAACAGCTGGAGGGTCTGATGCGTATGTTGAAAAATCAACAGACCTCTTCACCCAGATCAACACCAAATTCTAGTCCTCGCTCTGGTAAATCACCACCCATGCCAATGGCTGGCGGCGGTAGTGCCTCCGGTGGCAGTGGGGGCCTTAACACACTGGGCACCTCACCCATGAGCTCGTTACTTAATCAAATACCACCCAGTTCAGGACATGGCATGTTGGGCAGCAGTGCATCCGTGGCCGGTAATGTGCTGCGCATGCAACAAGCCTCACCCTTAAATCAAAATCAATTTGGTCAAAATCCTTTAGATTCGGCGGAGTCAAGGGGAGGTGTTGGTTTCAATACCAATGGAAGTGGAAGTGAGTATAAAATCAAATCTACGGTAAACGTCTTAAAAATTCAGACAAATGAAAAATGTATATGATTTTGTTAAGAAGTCATTTTAGGAAAATGTAGGAAAAAGGTTATTTATTATTGTTGTTTTCTGATTTGGGTTTAGATTTAATGCGAATCTTTTCCAAAAATACAGTTGATGTAGCTGAGTATTTTAATCTTGACTCAATCACAAATGAGCCATCCAATGATCACGAAAGTGAACATGACAATGCCAACTCTCCCCATGAGCAATCGGCACATGCAACAACAAAAGATGAAGTCCCTGAGTCTTCTATTGATATGTTATCGACCCTTCTGAATGATCTCAATACAGGTAAATCATTGCAAATGCAAAATAACCGTTGGCTACCATGCCCAGTAGCATAGACTCATTTTCATTCATTTAAACTCTGTAACTTGGTAATAAGTTTTGCTCTTCCAACAGCTCTGTAGTTTCTTTTCTTTATTGGCTATTGTGGATTTTTAAGCGTTCTTCCTTTAAAAACACACGCACACACACATATAAATGTCTATTGCCAGCGGCTTACAATTGTAGTAGATTTCTTTGTTAATGGTATAATATAAAGAACAAATTTAAATTTTTCTAAATGTTTCCTTTATTTTCGCAAAAAAAAATGTGTGGGCGCCTTTGTGTGTGTGTAACAAAACAAAAAATGTAACAAAATAAACGTTTTTGCAGTACAAGCAGTTAAACCTCCTTCTCAGACCCGTTTCATATTGCCTCTAGGTAAGTGGCTTTAAATGTGCAATAAATTCCCATATTTTTTCTTGGCAAGCAAAGCTTTCTCTCTCTATCTTGTGTGTTGGGGGATTTCAGGAATACATTTAAATTGATAAATATTATATCTGTGTTTATGACTAATACTATAATTTTTATGGAAAATATTTTCCTTCTTGGTTATCATCCTCAAAACATGAAGTGTAGGGGAAATTGAAAAATTACTTAACATCCCAAAATGTAAAGAGCAATTTAATTGATGTACACAATACCTACATGCTTCTTGTGGTTGGTGACGAATAGTGAAATTTTGTGGGGAACATATTCTCTTTTGTCAAACCTCCCCTAAAATTAAGTATAGACGGAGATTTTGCCATAAATAAAAATTAGCATTTTCCCAAAAAAAACCAATAAATTAATTCTTAATATCCCAAAATTGAAAGTGTGATTTAATTGATATATATCATACCTACTGATTTCTTGTGGTCGGTGATTAATAGTGAAATTTTGTGAGGAACCTTTTCTCCATTGACACCCCTACCCCAAAATAAAGTACAGCAGGAGGTTTTGGCATAAATAAAAAATAGCATTTTGGCAAAAAATCAACAAATTAATTTTTAATATCCCACGATTAAAAGTGTCATTTAATTGATGTCTATCATTCCTGCATATTTCTTGTGGCCGGTGACTTATGATGAAATTTTGTAAGGAACATATTCCCCGTTGGTACCCCTCCCCTAAAATGAAGTATTGACTCAGATTTTGGCACAAATAAAAAGTAGTATTATGGCCAAAATATCGAAAAATTACTTCTTAATATCCCTAAATGAAAAGAGTCATTCAATTTGTTTTTATCATACCTACAGATTTCTTGTGGTCGGTGACTACTGATGAAATTTTGTAAGGAACATATTCCCCGTTGGTACCCCTCCCCTAAAATTAAATATAGACGGAGTTTTTGGCATAAATAAAAAATAGTATTATGACAAAAAAAAAACGAAAAATTACTTCTTAATATCCCAAAATGAAAAGTGTAATTTGAGTGATATGTATTATACCTACAGATTTCTTGTGGTCGGTGACTAATAGTGAAATTTTGTGGAGAATAAATTCTCCATTGACACCCCTCCTCTAAATTGAAGTATTGGCGCAGATTTTGGCACAAAAAAAGTAGTATTACGGCCAACAAATCAAAAATTACTTCTTAATGCCCCAAAATGAAAAGTGTAATTTAATTTATGCCTATCATATCTACAGATTTCTTGTGGTCGGTGACTAATAGTGAAATTTTGTGGAGAATAAATTCTCCGTTGATACCCCTCCTCTAAATTTAAGTATTCGGGCAGATTTTGCCATAAATCAAAAGTAGTATTACGGCCAACAAATCAAAGATTACTTCTTAATGCTCCAAAATGAAAAGTGTAATTTAATTTATGCCTATCATACCTACCGATTTTTTGTGGTCGTTGACTAATATTGAAATTTGGTGGGGAGCAATTTTTCCATTAGCACCCCTGCCCTAAAATACAGTATAACGGAAGATTTCCGCATAAATAGAAATCAGTATTTTGTCCAAAAAAAATTGAAAATCACAGTGCCATTTAGTTGATGTACATTGCACCTAGATATTTCTTGTGGACGGCAACTACTGGTGAAATTTTGTGGAGAACAAATTCTCCATTGACACCCCTCCCCTAAATTGAAGTATTAGCGCAGATTTTGCCATTAACAAAAATAAGTATTTTGGCCAAAAAATGATAAAAATTTCATATTTATGTCTCAAAGTGGAAAGAGTAATTTCATTTATGTCTATTATACCTACAGATTTCTCGTGGTCAGAGACTAATAGTGAAATTTTGTGGGGAACAATTTCTCCATTGATACCCCTCCCCTAAAATGAAGTATTGGACAGATTTTGGCACAAATAAAAAGTAGTATTATGGTCAAAAAATCGAAAAATTACTTCTTAATATTCCAAAATGAAAAAAGTAATTTAATTTATATCTATCATACCTACAGATTTCTCGTTGTCGGTGACTAATACTGAAATTTTGTGGAGAACAAGTTCTCCATTGACACCCCTCTCCTAAAACTAAGTATGGACGGAGATTTTGGCACAAATTAAAAGTAGAATTATGACCAAAGAATCGAAAAATTATTTTTGTTGTATATTTTCTCAACATTTCTTAAAACCACTTGTGGATATACAGTTTGCTGCTGGACCTCCTCTCATACCTTCCAAATCATATAAACAATAAGTCGCTCTAATACACATAAAGTCCACAATAGAATATTCTCCCTTTTCATTCTCCCTGAATTAAAATTTTTTTTGAGGTTATGTATTTTTTTGAAATTTTCAAATTTAGTTTTCGCACTCTAATTTACGTTTTGAATATATTTTCTGTATGATTGCATGTGTTTTTGCAACACAGAATAGTCCAAAGTCAGGTGCAAATAAATTTCTTGGACAATATTTTTGGAGTTGGGCGGAGATGTAGGATCATTTATTTCTTCCCATACACTTCAACATTTCCCTTGAAATTTGTTCAACATCTGACTCTGGTGTTTCCTGAATCCCCCACACTATGAAGAGTGAATTCCTATTCGATCCCTCCTGCTGCAAATAATTTGGTGAATGAGTTTGATTTGCAATGTTTTTTCTGAAAATGTCTTTGGAACTCTTCTCTTTTTTGTTTTTGTTTTGTTTTAGATTACTTTCCCAATAGACGTAAAAGACACAAACACTGCAATTGTTAGATTGATGATGTAACTTCTCCTTCTGCATCTACTTCTGTGTGCTACATACCTATATTTCTACAATATTTTTAATTTACTCTCGAAATATGCATCTCGAAAAAAAAATTTTAAAAAGAATTTCTCCTTTTCAATATTGGATAAATACACATACATATATACATACTTTCTTTCTATATACACACATATACAAATTGTTATTAATGCATTTGAATGCCAGTAGACTTGCTACGTCACATAGAAGGTGATGAGTCGGCCGAAGATGTTGAGGATAATGAAGAGGACGAGGCATATGATGATTTCGATTTGGATTATAATTTTGGTTTGAGTCTCGGCGATAGTAGTGGCATTTCGGCAAGTTTAAGGCATCTGCAACAGCAGCAGCAGCAACAACAACAACAGCAACTCCAACATCAGCAACAACAACAATTGCATTCCGCTTCTTCCGACCATGATTTCCTGGGATCAATGGCAGCCGCCTTGGCCAGTGGTGGCGTTGGTGGCAACAACCACCATTTGATGTTAAAAGATCTTGAATATCGCCTCGATCATGATTCCGAAGTTGAATTAGATTCTGATTTCGATATCGATGAAGAACATGCCCACATAAATCGTGTCATGGGCTATAAACACTATCCCGAGGTACTCATCGATGATGCAGATGCTGGATTTCCCCTCTTGCATGAAATCGGTGAGACAATCGATGAATTGCAGTTGATTATGCACGCCCATCTTTTGAAATATAGTTTGAGTTTATAAAACTAAGAACCAATTATATTTGAAACTAAATTTAAAACTTACCAATTGTTGTATTTGTGTTCCACCAAAACGATAAAAATATCAAAATCTTAAACCAAAAACCAAAGGTATATGTTTTTGTTGTTACATTTATTTTCCCCTCGCCCCATTCCTCTTTAAAACTTCATTCATCAATGCCAATTTAAAAAATGGATTCAAACATGTACATCATTTTTTCGCAATATCCCTGGTAGGTAGTGGTTTGAAAACACCTACATCTGTATCTGAAACTGATTTCATATATTTTCTTTGCTTATCAACCAAAAAAACTGAACGCTTCCTCCTGTGTTTAGCCTATCATCTTATAGTTGTTTGTAAATATATTCTTCTTGTTGTTGTTTGTTGCCTCCTTCTATTTGTTTCTCTATTTTAGAGCCTTTTCGCCTCAACCTCTTTTGTTTTCATTTTGAACATTCACATAGTGTATAGTTCCATTTCCCCTCAAAACCTGAGATCAAAGTTCATCACATAAATTTGGACTACGACTCAAACCTGTTCCATATTGTTTCGAATAGTAACTGTAGATGTCAGTCAGAACATACCATGCGTACATCATAAAAAACATAATATATACTTATAAAATGACCCAGCACGCCAAGAGAGGATCTATACATACCCTCCAGAGAATTTGAGGTTATGAAAATCAACACACCAAAACTCTGTGTGTTTGCGAAATATTTGCATTTTAATGGGTCTTATTGTGACAAAATTGAAACCCTTCCCAAAAATGCAAAATTTCGTGGTGTGTATAACCTCACTTTTTAACAAAAAGGTAAATGTTAGTCTTTTTCTATTCTCCCCGAAGTCAAAGACGACACTACTAGGTCAATTTAAAAGTACAAAAAAAGAAAATTCTTTGTGTTCTTATCTCCAAATTGTAGCATCGTGTAATCCGAAAACGTCTAGAAACATACCTATAGACATTTTGTGGTGTTTTCTATCCTGTTGAGTTGTTTTTTTCCATTGATTTTGTTCTTGTTTTTCTCTCAGATTTGTATATCTATTATTACTATCATACAATAACAACAAGGTAATGAAATTATGTGTTTTTGTCTAAAGTGTCTATTCTTTAACATTCTTTCAGATTTCGAAGACCCCCAAAATATAAATGTTGATTGGAATGATAAGGTAAATTATATGTTTTGTCTATATGTATGTTGATCTAGAGATCATTTCTTCGACGGGGGGGTAAAACAACACTGATATTTGTTTATTTAGAATATTATGTCATTGGTATCACTTTTCTAAAATGGGGGTGGAGAAGGAGATTTTGTTAAAGTTTTAAAGACTAATTTACTTTATTTTGTTACAATTTAAAAGAGGCATTCCCCCCAAAAAATAACAGTCACTCCTTTAACAGTCACTCATTTAACATTTGGTTAAAAGTCGATCTAAGAAACCCTGACAAGAAAAAGGTTGTAATGTATACAATTGGTTGTGTTATGAGAAAGAATCGAGTTGAATGAAGTAAACGCCGCTTGCCCATCGTCAATCTCTCTCTCCACCTGCTCTTTCTTAAGGACTAATATAAATATTTTATTTCTAATTAGAATGTTTTTAATATCATCTTTACGATCTATGATACCCAATTTATATACTATATGACATTTCCGATCTATAATACCCTACTTAAATAGAATAACGTTTAGTTCACGGCAGAAGAATACAGGTAGACGCATCGACACTGCTATTGGGACAATGAACTGTCAAACCAATTTTGGAATTGAATATTTTAAACGAAAAATTATTGAAAATTGTTAAAAAAATCCAATTGACGACGTATAAGAAAACAAATCAAAAATCGGCTTATTTTTGAAAAAAAAACGACTACGTGGACCTTTATAGGAAACTTTTGTCATAAGCCATTACAATATTCAAATACGAAACTTGAAAAATATCGATGAATAATGTCGCTAAAATCATCAAAATTCCGAATATCGGGAGGTACCGTTATTTGGGGGCAATACAAAGACGTGGACCTACACAGATAACTTACTTTCTTAGGCTGTAGTCTCCATTACGAACTTCAAATACCAAATTTGAAACAATTCCGGTGAATAATGTCGCTAAAATCATCAAAATACCGAATATCGGGAGGTACGGTTATATGGGGGCTATATGAAGACGTGGACCTGCACAGACAATTTTCTGTCTTAGGCTGTAATATCCATTCAAATACCGAAAATAGCAAAAATAATTTCGCTTAAATCATCAAAATACCTAATATTAGGGGGCACCATTATATGGAGGCTTTACCCAAACGTAGACCTACACGGCCCATTTTCAATACCAAAAGTCCTGCAGTCATAATATACATTTGAATAAAATTCTATCAACTTACTTAATTTCGTTGGTGAATCGACATAGAATTTTATGCTGATCCAGAATATATGTACTTTGTAGGGTCTATCATGAATATTTCGAGGGGTTGCAAACGAAATGGCGCAGCTAATATATAAAAATGTTCCTTTGGTCTTGATTGCCATTGGGTACAAAATCGATCTATGGCACCCTACATATATATTGTTCAAAGACATAAAGTCTTTGTATGGTTACCGTTTATTTGATTTTTATTACATTTTGAGGTTAGGTTGTAAAAATTATATATTTGAGTACATTTTTAAATATTTTAGTTAATTGGACAGTCATACAAAGATGAAGTATTGATTATTTGAAGGGGAAACACAATATTTTTAATTAAATGGTTCATTTCAGTTTGAGGTTATGTTATAAAAAATGGAATTTTGTAAATTGATAAAAATTATTATTGCCGTTTTTGTTTTCTTTATCTTATAATAATTTCTCCCCCTATTTTTAATTTAATTCCAGCAAACCAACTCAGCCAGTAGCCAGTGGCAGGAGCAATTTGCCCAGTGGTCATTGCACACGCAAAAGAACTAATTCCAGTAAATGATTTTGAAACAAAAGGAAATCTACTAAAACTCTTGCAAAAAAGGAAAGAAATGAACTAGAAAAGAATAAAATTAATTTAAGATAAAAAAGATTAGTTCAAATATACGATCTACAAACATATTTATTAGAAAACAAAAACAACAACAGCAACTTTTTATCCTAATTTTATCATATAACAACAAATACAAAATATTTCATATTTTTTTGTAATAACTAAATGCATATAACAATTATTATAAATAGTAATAATACACATTGGACGAATGGTTAAACATTTAAAGGAAATGTATTTGAAGCAAAAGCTTAGATTTGTTAAAAAAAAAAGTAAAAAAGTAAAGTAATAAAACGATAATTTAAAACCTAACAAAACTTAAGACTTAAAGAATATTTAAAAGTAATTAAAAATATACCAACTCATTTGCAAAATGTTTGATATATACTTTATTATTATTGAAAATGAAAAAAAAGAAAAAATCATACATATATATACATTCATATATTGAAAATCTTTGTTAAACCTAATCCCCCTTAAAGACTAAATAACAAATAGCAATTTATATAAAAAAATATATACCTTAAAGTAAACTGTTAACAAAAAAACGAACATAGATTAACAAGCAAATGTTGTAATGCTAAAATCTTGTCAACTCAAATCATAATAAATAGAAAAACAAATAAATAACAAAATAGTTGCAATATCATAACCATGAATGGTCCTTATTTTCCAGGGACCACACTTGAATCACAAACTCAGTTTAATTTTGCAAACATATTTATTATATACATACAAAAACAAAACACAAACACACTAAACTAATACATTTCCTTAAAAATCTCAAGTTAAATTGCTTTAAAAAAATACCGATAAAAAAATTAAAGAAATATTTATTTATGTTTAATATTAATAACTTTGTATATACACACATATATATTATTTAAAAAAAACAACAAACATATGCATACATCATATACATATATTTCAAAAGATATATATTACAAAAAAATATTATTAATCCAAAAATAAGAAAATCAAGAAAAATCACAGCAATCTTTAATCTACCAAGAACAAGACCAGTTAATAAAATTAAAAATAAATACTTAAAGAAAAATAACAAGAATATATAAAATTTGTCATCCACACACACATACATACATCCATCTAAATGTATGCAGCTATACGTACTTAATCCTTCAAAAAAAAAATGAATTTATAAAAAATCATAATAAAATAAATCACTCAACCAAAATAATAAAAATAAAAAACATTGACGTATGTTTTATGCTCAGTTCTTTTTGGAAACAGAAACACATCCACATTTACATATATATAAACAGAGATAGAGCTTACATACTCTTTTCATACATACCAGCCACATAACCATTCAAAAATGAATATTAAATTAAAAATAATTAAAAAAATTAAAAACAGAAAAACGAAAATAATAAAGAACTTGTAACACAACACACATTTTAATAAAATTGTGTTTTATTTTTGGTGAGAAAGGGAAAGAATGCTCCCCAATTGGGGACGACAATTAATGATACAATTCAAAAAATTATTCAGTTAAATTGCTGTTGATACTTTATTAGTATATTCTCTTATCCTAGAGGTTCCATTTTGTCCTAGACCCATCGTGAAATTTTATGTAGTATATGTTTTACATTTACACCAAAAGCCTATAATGGAATTTTGTGGCAGATTTTGACAGAATTCGGAAGTTTAATTTCATAAAAAAAACATAAAAATATACTTTTTATTCCTCACCCATAGAAATGATAATATTTTAGGGTTATAAATGCCTTTTGCGAATTTGGTTTGTTCTCAGACCCATTTTGGAATTTGATGAGGAGTATTTTTTCCTTTAATGGAATTCATCTAAGATGAAGTTATGACAGAGATTTTGATATATTTTAAAAACACTACTGGTTCACAGAAAAGTGAAGAATTCATTTGTGTGACTTTTTAACGCTTTTTATTGTTGTATGTAATAAAGTTATTGTTGTAATAATAAAGTATTAGACCATTAGTTGATTGTAATATAGAATATTTTATCCTTTAACACCAAACACCGAAGATGGGAGATATGGCTGTCAACAAAAATTTATATTTATCCAAAAAAGAGAAAAAAATGACACCAAGTAAAAACTTTTTTACTTTTTAATTTTTATTGCTATATACATTTTAGCTACAGATTTCCTCTGTTCGACATCCCATAGTTAAATTCGATATAGAACATATTCTACTTTAACTCAAACTTCCTAACTTTAGGTATAGTATGACTTTTCGGCTCAATTTGAAAGCGATATCCCACAAGAAAAGTGAAACATGTACTCTTGAAATACCCAATTTAGAGCTTATATTTTACCAATATACATTATACCTTCAGGTTTCTTTTGCTCGGTAACTCCCAGTGAAATTTTGTGTAGAATAATTTCTTCTTTGATACCATTCCCCCAAAATGTAGCATTGTGTTAGAATTCCACACATTTTGGAAACATTATTTTACCGCAAAATATGTCCAAATTAAACATGAAATTTTTTGGTTTTATATTGTAGATAACGCTTTCGTATGTTCGGTGACCCATAGTGAAATTGGGTGTGGAATAATTTCTCCTTTAACACAAAACCCCTAAAATGTGGTGTAGTTGGCGAATTTGAACCCATCTTGTATCAACATTTTACAAGAAATGGGTTATGAGCTTTTTCCTTTATTCCAATTTAAAAATGATACTTTTTTCGGTTTTATATTACAGATAACGGTTTCTTCTGTTTGGTGACCCATAATAAAATCGGGTGAGGAATATTTTGGCCTTTAATGCAAACCATCTAAAATGAAGTGTAGTGGGAGAATTTGGGCCATCCCGTTTCAATATTTTACAAGAAAATGGGTTATAAGCTTTTTCCATTATACCAATTTAAAAGCGATACTTTTTTCGGTTTTATATTAGAGATAATGGTTCCTTCTGTTTGGTGAACCATAGTGAAATTGGATGTGGAGTATTTTCGCCCTTAATGCAAACCCTCTAAAATGAAGTGTAGCGGGTGAATTTGGCCCAATTTCAAATCCATATTTTACATAAACGGGTGTTAGGGGTTTTTTCCCTTAATATCTCCAAATTAAAAGCTATTTTTTCGGTTTTATATTACAGATAACGGTTTCTTCAGTTTGGTGACCCATATTGAAATCGGGTGAGGAATATTTTCGCCTTTAATACAATATCCCCAAAATGAGGTGTAGTGGGAGAATTTGGACTCATCTCAAAGTCATATTTTGCAAGAAAATGGGTTATGGAATTTTTCTTTAATACTTTCAATAAAGTAATTTTTTCGGTTTTATATTACAGATAACGAGTTCTTCTGTTTTGTGACCCATAGTGAAATTGGGTGTGGAATATTTTCGCCTTTAACGCAAACCCTCTAAGATGAAGTCAAGTGGGAGAATTTGGGGCCATTTGAAAGTCATATTTTACAAAAATGTGGGTTATGGGCTTTTTCTCCATTACCTTCAAATTAAAAGTGCTACTTTTTTCGGTTTAATATTACAGATAACGGTTTCTTCTGTTTGGTGACCTATGGTGAAATTGGGTGTGGAATATTTTCGCCTTCAACTCAAAACCCCAAAAATGAAGTGTAGTGGGAGAATTTGGCCTAATTTCAAATCAATTTTTTACGAAAAAAACTAGGTTTTATGAGGTGGCAATGATTTCTTAAGGATATATATTATACATAACGGTTTATTTTTCTTGACGAACCCTAGTGAAATTTAATGTAGAACATTTTCTAAATTAGTACCTTACCAACTGAATGAAGCATTCTTATAGATTTAGGCATTATTTAGATGTGACATCACAAGGTAAAAATCGATAATTTCTATTTTTTTGCATTTAATCTAGTAAGGCTAATTTTTTGCTATACATTGTACCTAGAGGTTTCATTTGTTTGGTGACCCATAGTAGAATTTTGTAGAGAAAATTTTCTCCATTGACAGCCACCCTGTTAAATAGAGTATTACATGAGATTTCAATACAATTTGAAGACAGTATTTTATATACATTCAAATATTTTTTCTAATGTACTCAAGTTGGGGACTGATTTCTATGTGTACTTATTATATATACGGGTCTCTTTTGCTCGATGACCCATAGTGGAATTTGACATAGAATATTTCCCCCTTTGACTCCTGGTCTATAAAATTTATAATTATGGAATATTTGGGCTTAACTAAAGATGTTACAGCAATGGTAAAAAACGACAATTTCTAATTTTTATATGCAATTTGGCATAACTAATTTTTTGATATATATTATACATGGAGATTTCTCTTGTTTGGTAACCCATAGTAAAATTTTCCGAAGAATATTTTCTCCATTGACACCCTGGCGCTAAAATGAAGTATTCTTGAGATTTGTACACCATTTTGAAAGTGCTAATTGATTTAAAAAAAAAAAAAACTATTTCTTTGTCAATATAACCAAATTCTTCCCTAGATAATTATGGAAACTGCTTTACCTAGAGACGGATTTTGTTCGGTGACTTATTGTTAAATTTTGTGTGTAAGATTTTCTCTATTGACGTCATTTTTCTAGAACAAGGTCTAAGTGTTGAAATGTTATATTTTTTAAGGTTAGTTTTAAAAATAAAAAAACTTGATTCATTTTGGTTTGTTTTTTGTTTTTATTGATAAAACTTATTTTTTTGTTTATTTTTCTTTTATTTTAAAACATATAAATTAATACAATTACATAAATACAATTTTATTTGAGTTTGATTGTGATAATTTTTCCCGAATTATATTCTGAATAAAACTATCACAAAAAAGTTATTCGAGATGAGTACGTGATGCATTGTTGTATGTAGCTGCTAGATTAAGGCATAACAACAACAATAATAATATAATAATTGACAAAAATAATAGTCAAGGTGCAAAAATACTACTATTGTCTCGCTAATATGCCGAAGTATGCTAAGAAGACGAAATGCGTGCTATTGTTCTGCATGCTATTAATTTACTGTTCACAATAGATTTCAAATTCTTTGTAGGCCAATTCTTCACCACCATATGGAATGTAACAGCAGCCATGGGAAGGTTGTACCTTACCCACGGTGACGGTGCCATCATGTGTGGCCCGACCCACAAACAAGGGCTCGCCATCGGCTGTAGTACCGGCTTGGACAGCATTTGGTGGAATGTTGCCATCGTTGACGGGTACCCAAATACCAAAACCGGCACACAAGACTTCATATTCACTGTGGCCATGTTCACCACCGCCATAGGCGACATAACAGACACCATGGGAGGGATGTAATTTGCCGGGAATCATGTCACCCTCGTGTTGGGCACGGGCAATGTACAGCTGTTCACTGCCATCGAAACCGCCCTGCAAGGCTTCGGGGGGAATTTCACCATTGGCGGCTGGTACCCAGCTGCCGCTGCCACTACCTCCGGTGGGGGCGCTGAAACCCATGGGTGCTGACACAGCAACGGGAGCAGGTTCTAAAGGAAAAAAAACATAAAATAAATATTTTTATTTTAATTTTCTTAGAATTTTTTTTTGTCAACTCACCATCAATCAACCAAGTACCACTGGCACCCCAGCCAGTGCACACACCCACATAATGGATGGGGAACAATTCAGGATCTTCATGCGACATGAAAGCAGCAGCTTCACCCTCACGACCCACAGTAATGACATTATCATACCAGCGAATCCAAAAGCCACGGAATTCACCAGCATTACAAATGCCAGGGGTGGGCACTTCAACAACATCGGGTTTTTGACGATTTTTACGAATAACCGATTTGCTGTTCTCCCAACCGCCAAGGAACACCTCATACATGGGTTCACCCTCAGCGGGCTGAGATGTCAGCGCCAAATGGGCATCATGGCCACAGCGTACCTTGAAAGTGAACACTTGTTCCGTAACAGGATGGAATTGGTAGGTCAAGGCGTCGGGTGTTTCAATTTCTGAAAAGAAAACGAAAAAAAAATTGTAAAAATTAATCATTTATTTAATTTTAATAATTTTGTAAATAAATGTAATGTTTTTAATAAAAAGTAATAAATCGCTTGATAATCTCCAAAAAGCGAGAGAGATATTTATCATGTTTTATTTGGGTCAGTTGAAGAGAATTTTTTTCGCTTCAGTAAGATCTCTCTTCAAAGTTCCATGAACTAAAAGTTACGGCGATTGATAAGTAAATAAAATTCAAAACAATTTAATAGTAAATTTTAAATTATTTTTTTTTAATTTTTATTATTTTTTAAATTTTTTATTTTTTTTAATTTTTTTAATCTTTATTATTTTTTTAATTTTTATTATTTTTTTTAATTGTTATTATTATTTTTTTAATTTTTATTATTTTTTTTTAATTTATTATTTTTTTTTTTTAATTTTTAATGTTTATTTTTATTTTTTTCTTATTATTTTTTTAATTTTTTTATATACAACATCTGTGGGCCACTCTTCGAATAGAACATTTTACATTCTCTTCATAAACTCTATATTTTTTGCCATGCAACTCTCTTTATCTCATCCCACTTAGCTATCTCCCTTCAACTCATGTTTTCTCTTCCTCTGGGGCAAATCAAAGCTTGGCTTTGTTATGGGAATTTCGAGAATGTGCTACTTTAAAAAAAGCAAAAAAACAAATAGTGAAGTACGTATTTTGAAAACAAAAAAAAAAAACAAATTTGAAAAAATAACAACTTTTCATCAGCGTAGCAAGACTACGCTTAAAAAATTTATATTATTTATTATTATTTTTTTTTTAATTTTTATATTTTTTTTAATTTTTATTTTTTTTTTTTTAATTTTTTTATTATTTTTTTATTTTTTAAAGTGATTTTTTTTTATTTACAACATCTGTGGGC